TACTTACTTACCTTTTGTAAAACATTAATTGCAACATATATCTCCGTGTTATGAGTTTTCGGATGCTGAATAAACATCCATGGTGTTTTCATATGAACAACTCTAAAACATCTCATTGACTCATAAAAACAAGCCATCATCGGAGTATTTCTGTGTCATGCCACACCCCTCGTTATAGTGCAAGTATTCGTGATAGAAAATGTATGTTGTCCGGAAACTTAAGATCAGACAATAATAGTATTGTGTTATGAATAATAATAAAGGCATGTTTGATGCTGAAAGCTCTGATCGAAAACAGGACAATCCGCGACGGCTGTCCGGAAACACGATATTTTTACGCGGAAGATGATTTTTCCAAGGACTACTGTTTTAAAAAACGCGATTTTCAGCGTTTCCGCGGATATTTCACATCATAACAATGTATACCGTACAATTAAACCGTACAAACCAAATTCAACACTTTTATGTAGTAATGATTAGCTTTCATCCTCTGTGCAATCCACTCTGTTGGCTAATCTGCTATGCGCACGAGAGCATGTTACAAATCACATCGCGGCATCCCGTACAAACCAATCCAAGCTCAGCACAAATCGATTTCAACACTTTCAAGTGATTATAATAAAGAAGTCACCGCCAATGCAATCACCTGCGACTGCTAATCCGCTCTGTATATTTGACATTAAAGTCAACCCACATACCAAGCACCGCGCCAGGAAGAGTACCAGACGCCTCAATCGCTTACCCGTCAATATCATTGCAAGGAGAGTAAGGACTCCCGCTAACAGTGAGGAGTACTAATTAAACATCCCAATAATGTTACACGCCACTATATCAGTTTTATTTGTAACTTGCTAATAATATTGATCGGCATTTTGCACATACAAAACAATTATGGAACAATGCACAGCAGTTACCCCCCTTTATCAACATTTACAAAGAAACACAGTGCTCAACTTAAAATACTTCATTTTGCACATATACAATAATTATACACGAATATATTACAATTATCTCCCTTTACTAATATATACAAAGAAACACAATTTTGGATACATCATATATACAAAATTGTATATTTTTGTATATCTCATCATTCCAAACTTGTATATGCTTTGGATATACCATCTTTCCAAAGCATATACAAGCTTGTATATGTGGATTTATTTTTTTGCAGTGTTAGAAGTGTTACACCAAAGGAATAGAATTTATGGATGTCAACTTCTAAGTTAAGTAAGAATTAAGTTTGAATGACCTCATAATTGCGACAATTCCCAACAACCTCTGTTGTCCATGATTTGATGTTCTTTGTGCAGGTTTTGTCTGATTGAAAGATTCTATGATTGTATTTAGAGGACTCATATAAATGACAAACAGGTACACTGTTAAGTCCGAACGAATTGTTACAATGACAAACAGGTACAGTGCTTGGTCAGAACGAAATGTTACAATGGCAAACAGGTATACTGTTTAGTCACAACGGATTGTTAGAATGACAAACAGGTACATTGTTAAGTCCGAACGAATTGTTACAATGACAAACAGGTACACTGCTTGGTCATAACGGATTGTTACAATGACAATCAGGTACACTGTTAGGTATAACTGATTGATACAATGACAACCAGGTACACTGTTAGGTCACAACGGATTGTTACAATGACAAACAGGCACACTGTAAGGTCACAATGGATTGTTACAATGACAAACAGGTACACTGTTAGGTCACAATGGATTGTTACAATGACAACCAGGCACACTGTTAGGTCACAATGGATTGTTACAATGACAAACAGGTACACTGTTAGGTCATAACTGATTGATACAATGACAAAAAGGTACACTGTTAGGTCACAACGAACTGTTACAATGACAACCAGGTAGAGTGCTAGGTCACAACAGATTGTTACAATGACAACCAGGCACACTGTTAGGTCATGACTGATTGATACAATGACAAACAGGTACACTGGTAGGTCACAATGGATTGTTACAATGACAAACAGGTACACTGTCAGGTCATAACTGATTGATACAATGACAAACAGGTACACTGTTTGGTCATAACGGATTGTTACAATGACAATCAGGTACACTGTTAGGTCACAATGTATTGTTACAATGACAAACAGGTACAGTGTTTGGTCAGAACGGATTGTTAAAATGACAAACAGGTACACTGTTAGGTCACAATGGATTGTTACAATGACAAACAGATACACTATTAGGTATAACTGATTGATACAATGACAAACAGGTACAGAGTTAGGTCATACCGGATTGTTACAATGACAACCAGGTACATTGTTAGGTCACAATGGATTGTTACAATGACAAACAGGCACACTGTTAGGTCACAATGGATTGTTACAATGACAAACAGATACACTGTTAGGTATAAAAGATTGATACAATGACAACCAGGTACATTGTTAGGTGACAACGAATTGTTACAATGACAAACAGGAACACTGCTTGGTCATACCTGATTGATACAATGACAATCAGGTACACTGTTAGGTCACAACAGATTCATACAATGACAACCAGGCACACTGTTAGGTCACAACGGATTGTTACAATGACAAACAGGCACACTGTTAGGTCACAATTGATTGATACAATGACAAACAGGTACACTGTCAGGTCATACCTGATTGATACAATGACAAACAGGTACACTGTTAGGTCACAATGGATTGTTACAATGACAAACAGGAATACTGCTTGGTCATAACGGATTGTTACATTGACATTCAGGTACACTGTTAGGTCACAACGAATTGTTACAATGACAACCAGGTACAGTGCTAGGTCACAACAGATTGTTACAATGACAACCAGGCATACTGTTAGGTCATAACTTATTGATACAATAACAAACAGGTACACTGTTAGGTCACAATGGATTGTTACACTGACAAACAGGTACACTGTTAGGTAATAACTGATTGATACAATGACAAACAGGTACAGAGTTTGGTCAGAACGGATTGTTAAAATGACAAACAGGTACACTGTTAGGTCACAATTGATTGTTACAAGGACAAACAGATACACTATTAGGTATAACTGATTGATACAATGACAAACAGGTACAGAGTTAGGTCATACCGGATTGTTACAATGACAACCAGGTTCATTGTTAGGTCACAATGGATTGTTACAATGACAAACAGGCACACTGTTAGGTCACAATGGATTGTTACAATGACAAACAGATACACTATTAGGTATAACTGATTGATACAATGACAAACAGGTACAGAGTTAGATCACAATGGATTGTTACAATGACAAACAGGCGCACTGTTAAGTCATAACTGATTGATACAATGACAAACAGGTACATTGTTAGGTCACAACGAATTGTTACAATGACAAACAGGAACACTGCTTGGTCATACCTGATTGATACAATGACAATCAGGTACACTGTTAGGTCACAATGGATTGTTACAATGACAAACAGGTACACTGTTAGGTCACAGTTGATTGTTAAAATGACAAACAGATACACTGTTAGGTATAACTGATTGATACAATGACAAACAGGTACACTGTTAGGTCATACCTGATTGCTCCAATGACAAACAGGTACACTGTTAGGTCATAACTGATTGATACAATGACAACCAGGTACATTGTTAGGTCACAACGAATTGTTACAATGACAAACAGGAACACTGCTTGGTCATACCTGATTGATACAATGACAATCAGGTACACTGTTAGGTCACAATGGATTGTTACAATGACAAACAGGTACACTGTTAGGTCACAGTTGATTGTTAAAATGACAAACAGATACACTGTTAGGTATAACACTGTTAGGTATAACTGATTGATACAATGACAAACAGGTACACTGTTAGGTCATAACTGATTGATACAATGACAAACAGGTACACTGTTAAGTCACAATGGATTGCTCCAATGACAAACAGGTACACTGTTAGGTCAAAACTGATTGATACAATGACAATCAGGTACACTGTTAGGACACAATGGATTGTTACAATGACAAACAGATACACTATTAGGTATAACTGATTGATACAATGACAAACAGGTACAGAGTTAGATCACAATGGATTGTTACAATGACAAACAGGCGCACTGTTAAGTCATAACTGATTGATACAATGACAAACAGGTACATTGTTAGGTCACAACGAATTGTTACAATGACAAACAGGTACACTGCTTGGTCATACCTGATTGCTCCAATGACAAACAGGTACACTGTTAGGTCATAACTGATTGATACAATGACAACCAGGTACATTGTTAGGTCACAACGAATTGTTATAATGACAAACAGGAACACTGCTTGGTCATACCTGATTGATACAATGACAATCAGGTACACTGTTAGGTCACAATGGATTGTTACAATGACAAACAGGTACACTGTTAGGTCACAGTTGAGTGTTAAAATTACAAACAGATACACTGTTAGGTATAACTGATTGATACAATGACAAACAGGTACACTGTTAGGTCATAACTGATTGATACAATGACAAACAGGTACACTGTTAAGTCACAATGGATTGCTCCAATGACAAACAGGTACACTGTTAGGTCAAAACTGATTGATACAATGACAATCAGGTACACTGTTAGGTCACAATGGATTGTTACAATGACAAACAGGTACACTGTTAGGTCATAACTGATTGATACAATGACAAACAGGTACACTGTTAAGTCACAATGGATTGCTCCAATGACAAACAGGTACACTGTTAGGTCAAAACTGATAGATACAATGACAAACAGGTGCACTGTTAGGTCACAACGAATTGTTACAATGACGAACAGGTGCACTTTTAGGATATATCGTCTCTACTTCAATATGATTATCTCCCTCTGTCAACTTACAATGATTGTAGTAGGTGTAGGTGGCCAGGTAATGCTTCACATGAATAGTTATATTTATGTGTCAGCCTTCAAGGGCACTTTGTTCTAACTGTACCAAAAACAACAGACAAAATTCATAGTAAATGACATTTTATTCATAAAGAAAATATATGTATATATGTATGTATAATATATGACAATGCATCAAAATATAAAGTTGTTATTCACAGATTAACCCCTTCATACATACCTAAAGCCAAGGCAATGCAATGTTCCCCTTTATACCCCATGACTTACCTACAGCCAAGGCTATGCAGTGTTCCCCATTATACCCCATGACTTACCTACAGCCAAGGCTATGCAGTGTTCCCCATTATACCCCATGACTTACCTACAGCCAAGGCTATGCAGTGTTCCCCATTATACCCCCTAACATACATACCTACAGCCAAGGCGATGCAGTGTTCACCTTTATACCCCATGACTTACCTACAGCCAAGGCTATGCAGTGTTCCCCATTATACCCCCTAACATACATACCTACAGCCAAGGCGATGCAGTGTTCACCTTTATACTCCCTGACATACCTTCAGCCAAGGCGATGCAATGTCCCCCTTCATACCCCCAAACATACCTACAGCCAAGGCGATGCAATGTCCTCCCTTTATATCCCCTAACATACCTACAACCAAGGCAATACAATGTCACCCTTTATACTCCCTGACTCACCTACAGCCAAGGCAATGCAATGGCCTCTCTTAATATCCCCTAACATACCTACAGCCAAGGCGATATAATGTCCTCCTTTAATACCCCCTAACATACCTACAGCCAAGGCGATGCAATGTCCTTCCTTTATACCCCCTGACATACCTACAGCCAAGGCGATGCAATGTCCTTCCTTTATACCCCCTGACATACCTACAGCCAAGGCGATGCAATGTCCTTCCTTTATACCCCCTGACATACCTACAGCCAAGGCGATGCAATGTCCTTCCTTTATATCCCCTAACATACCTACAGCCAAGGCGATGCAATGTCCTTCCTTTATACCCCCTGACATACCTACAGCCAAGGCGATGCAATGTCCTTCCTTTATACCCCCTGACATACCTACAGCCAAGGCGATGCAATGTCCTTCCTTTATACCCCCTGACATACCTACAGCCAAGGCGATGCAATGTCCTTCCTTTATACCCCCTGACATACCTACAGCCAAGGCGATGCAATATCCTCCTTTATACTCCCTGACTTACCTGCAGCCAAGGCGATGCAACGTCCTCCTTTAATACCCCCTAACATACCTACAGCCAAGGCAATACAATGTCATCCTTTAATACCCCCTAACATTCCTACAGCCAAGGCATTGCAATGTCCTCCTTTATACCCCCTAACATACCTACAGCCAAGGCGATGCAATGTCCTCCTTTAATACCCCCTAACATACCTACAGCCAAGGCATTGCAATGTCCTTTATCAACATTAACTCACTTATTCAACTTCTTACAGACAGAAAAACGAGTGTATCCCAACATTGATACAAATATGTTCTCCACAGCAACACTTCCTGAAGTAGAACCACTATGTTGAAGAAGAATGAGTTTGGGGAGATATGTCCACACCTACTGATCAGCTGATATGCTCACATGAAAATAAACAATTTAATCACTGTGGATATAGGATTTCTGAACTTTTCAAAGAACATTTTCAAATGGGGAGCTAACTGATGACATTGCAAGTCTCTATTATCCTTTTCTACATACCAGGTCCAACACAAAGACTATTAACAAAGTAATCAAGCTACCTAGAATCTTCAAATGCAAGGTCTGTTGCAAATCGATTCTTGTACAAATCATGTGTCAATGCTATCAATTAATACATATATCAATATCATTCATCACACACAGATGGATCACATGCTTCACATCCTGTTAAGACATCCTAATGTCACAAATGTTCTGCAATGCTACAAAGCAGGCAGCCCAATGTCCAGAATGTGTGACCTCTCCATGCCATCTGGGTAAGATATAGGGCTCCCTTGAAAGGGACAATAGGCTCCTCTGGTAGTCAATCAATTCTCTTAACTGACAAGATCCATCATGCTTAACCTGTTTGCCAATCCTCTGACTTTCAATTATAAGTTGCATTTGTACATTGGATTCACAAAATACTGTTTAAATATATAAATGAAATTCTATTGAAAGTTGTGGTCCGGCAATCCCCTTTTAAGTTTCAACAAGCATAAAAATGTTGGACCTATTCTACCTTTGTTTGCACAACAAGCACCTCACTTTCCATAACCACCATGTTAGCACAGATTGATGAGGAATCAATGTTATCACATTTACATTAATTGATAATCAACAGGTAACACATGTAAATATACTACTCAACTTCTGATAGGGATACTCACATATTTCATATTCTACAATTACAATCATGAGCTCTGTATTCTGATTGGTCTGATTCCACTGGACAGGAAATATTTTTTTGAAAGCACTCCTTTCCCAAACCTGGCAACATTTACTCTCATTATGTTATCAAGTGGAAACACTGTGTTGCAGGTTATTTCTGGATCATTTATAGCATGTCAAAATATTTTGTAACAGAAAGCCCCCATACCAACATATTCTGATTTTTCAATTCAAACCTCAAGCTAATGCACTCATTTCAATGAAATTTACAGTAATCAAATCTGTTTGACACTTCAAAACTGTATGTTTATCTCTTTATTGAAACACAGTGGACATCTTCTGCAAATGTGTTCTAAAAAGCAAAGTGTTTCGTGGCAATATCGACAGATTTCACATATCCATGCAGTCACATTTATCTGGCTTCTCACAGTATCCCCATCAATAGTTGACAAGTCTAACAGATCACTTCTAAAGAAACTGTAACCAGGGTAGGAAAGTCTCGGCTTATGACAACTAACTCAACTGACACCAATATTATGTTCTGCCACATTCTACATACAAGCTGCTACTGCTGAGGTTCTGGTAATGAGCTGTTGACATGGAGTGGGTGGGTGGCTGCAGAATGGTGTCACTGTGCTGGTTTATTGTAGTGCCGGGTCCATGTGTTGTGTTGTTGTGCTGGGTCTTAATGTTGTCTTGTATTGCTGGGTCTATGTGGTGTGTTGCAGGGCTGGGTGTATGTTGCATTGTGTTGTAGTGCCGAATCCATGTGGTGTGTTGTTGTGCTGGGTCTTAATGTTGTCTTGTATTGCTGGGTCTATGTGGTGTGTTGCAGGGCTGGGTGTATGTTGCATTGTGTTGTAGTGCCGAATCCATGTGTTGTGTTGTTGTGCTGGGTCTTAATGTTGTCTTGTATTGCTGGGTCTATGTGGTGTGTTGCAGGGCTGGGTGTATGTTGCATTGTGTTGTAGTGCCGAATCCATGTGGTGTGTTGTTGTGCTGGGTCTTAATGTTGTCTTGTATTGCTGGGTCTATGTGGTGTGTTGCAGGGCTGGGTGTATGTTGCATTGTGTTGTAGTGCCGAATCCATGTGTTGTGTTGTTGTGCTGGGTCTTAATGTTGTCTTGTATTGCTGGGTCTATGTGGTGTGTTGCAGGGCTGGGTGTATGTTGCATTGTGTTGTAGTGCCGAATCCATGTGGTGTGTTGTTGTGCTGGGTTTTAATATTGTCTTGTATTGCATGGTCTATGTGGTGTGTTGCAGGGCTGGGTGTATGTTGCATTGTGTTGTAGTGCCGAATCCATGTGTTGTGTTGTTGTGCTGGGTCTTAATGTTGTTTTGTACAGCTAGGTCTATATGGTGTGTTGCAGGGCTGGGTGTATGTTGCATTGTGTTGTAGTGCCGAATCCATGTGTTGTGTTGTTGTGCTGGGTTTTAATATTGTCTTGTATTGCTGGGTCTATGTGGTGTGTTGCAGGGCTGGGTGTATGTTGCATTGTGTTGTAGTGCCGAATCCATGTGTTGTGTTGTTGTGCTGGGTCTTAATGTTGTTTTGTACAGCTAGGTCTATGTGTTGTGTTGTTGTGCTGGGTCTTAATGGTATCTTGTATTGCTGGGTCTATGTGGTGTGTTGCAGGGCTGGGTGTATGTTGCATTGTGCTGTAGCGCAGAGACTGAGTGTTGTGATGCTGGGCCTATTTGTTAAGATTGTGTTGTACACATGGTTGGAAGTGTCAGGGTACTGGCTATGCATGACAGTGTTAGTTTGAGCACTTTCTTCATGGGTAACCAGTAGCGCCATTGCTGGGCAACATGACATAACAATGGAGCTGTATCACAGGAATCAGTTTAAACACTCATGTGAGATCAGGGTAATATTAAGCAACGATATCGAAAGATAAAATAATACATCTGAATTATTTCAACAAAATGACTCAGTATTACTTTACCTAACTTCTGAAAGAGTGAAAGTTCAAAAGTAGCCAAAAGCATATCACTGCCTTGAAGACAGCCATGCTCCTGCATCTCCTCTGTTCCCACCATCATGGCTACTTCCACATTACATCCATTCACAAAATGTTATCATATTCATTGGACAAGTTTAAAGTTGGCAGATTTTCATCCTGAAAGTGTAAGCCAGGCATATATATAGAAGTCTTTGAGGACTGACCATTTGATATTGTAGGGTTGGGCCTGGGAATTTATTGAAAAAGAAAATTGTGCCAGAAAATGCTTTATGAAATCATTGTGCTTCTGAACATTGAAAAAAAAGGAAATTGTTAACCACTAAAGATACACTGTTGCAATCTATTTCAGGTAAACAAGTTTTAATTAAAAAAAATGTTTTTTGAGATGTAGCTGAAAAAATGGCTACAAAATCCCAGCCCCCCCCCCACACACACACAAATTCAAATGGTCCACCCCTTATCACCATGGAAAGTGAACAAGGCAGGTTTCAATGAAAGGCTACTTCTACCTTGACAGCACATCTCCCAAAATAACAACAAACACAAATACATTGGAAATATGGGACACATAAACACTGCTTACAAGTGGGGAAAAAATATCTGTTACAAAATATACAACATGTAAACCTTGTGAAAAGAAATATTCTCCTACGACAAGTATCTGCAACGGCTTTCTAACCCTCTTCTTAATCAGTCCACAACATATCAAGGCGGACTGTCTTGATGGAGCAGTAAACGTCCTGTTCAATAAAGTCTTACATCAATGGTGACAAGAAGTATAGATGTATGTACAGTTCTCAGTGGGGATGGATACCGGAGGTTTTACAATGTATCACAATATTTTACGATGCACAAGGCCATGATTACAATACGTATCACAACATATTGTATAAAATCTTAATTTTGAATTCAGAAGCAATTTGAAACAGCAGTGTTTGAACTGAAGTTCATAAATGGAACAACACAAGATGCTGGTACAACGTAATGTTTACGCATTTAATAAATAAACATGGGTATTTGGCAAGTATAACATTAAACACATAATAAATAATAGCGAAATCACCCAGTATACCGAGATTCAAACATGATATTGTGATACGTATCGTGGAAAGAGTGAACCTCAATATACCAATATACCGGTAATACCAAGTACCCTTAGTTGTTAGGTTCCATCAACTGTTTCTATTGTGTACATACTGGACACAAGAAATCATACATCAGTGTAAAGAAAACATACATGACAGCAAAGAAAATCATAAATATACTACTCAAAAAAAATTAAGAATCACAGCATGAGGGATCAACTATATGAAAGAATTGTTTTGTTTGTTTGTTGTTTAACGTCGCACTCAGCAATATTCCAGCTATATGACAACGGTCTGTAAATTATCGAGGCTGGACCAGACAATCCAGTGATTGACATCATGAGCTTCGATCCGAACAATTGAGATCGATGACATGCATCAACCAAGTCAGCGAGTCTGACCACCCGATCCCGTTAGTCGTATCTGACAAGCATAGTCGCCTTTAACAGCAAGCATGACTACATACAAGATGGCCATCATCTCGTCCCGTCCAGATCATGGCGACATTCACCTGGAAGTAGAGGAACGGGTGGCCCAGCTGTCTAAGGCTTCACAATTTCGCACAGTACATTTGTAGTCTGAATGAATCCCAGATTTGCCTTGATTATGTTTTTTTGTTTATAAACATCGTAACAGTGGTCATGGGTATCACCAAAGTGGTAAATATCCTGCATCACTTTGGGCCTTCCCCCCACAATAAGATGACATGCTGTGGTATAACTGAAATACTGTTCAAAGTGACACTAATCACTCACTCATTCATCTAACATTATGTAACTGGTCAACAGTCACTAACGACTGATCTACACAATGTTTTCAACTTTCTCAGTGACTTCAAGTGCTACTCTCCCTACCACTGCTATGACATTAGCAAACCCTGCAGTACAAATGAAATCCATCATTTAACCTAAATCTTAACTTGCTGCTTCTAAAATATTTCAAGGCCAGACCAATATAGTTACTGGGATATATCTAGACCCAATCAGGTCGATATTCAGACCCAAGTCTGAAGCAAATGACAGTAAAAATTCCCAATCTGACTTTAAAAATTCCCTATTCCTCAGAATGTACAAACATTAGAACATTAAATACATCCAATTTTTTAACAATATCATGATTTTCCCCAAAAGACACTTACTTTGGAATCCTAGATAAATTCCTGAATTACTTGCCGTAAGGATTTGTCCAAAAAAATTACTGAAGAGAAGAGAGAAATACAACAAAACAAATCTCTTTAATAAATAAAGAAATCATGGACTAAATTTATTATTGCCTTGTGTGTATTTCTCTATTCTGTAAAACACACACACACATTTTGAGGTGTTATTTTATTCAATTTTGTTTGTTCGAGTGAGCCACATGTCAACATGTCATGGTAATTGTAAAATTTAAGAGGGCACTAAGATAAAAGGTTCCTTAATGCAATTATTTCCTGTTATTTGGGGGGAAAGCGCTAACAAGTGACAGTCAGATCTGTAAATCAAGTACTCCAATTGGTATGGCCTAAATTGCAAAACAAACTTGAACTTAAATTACTGAAAAACAGTGCCCTGCTAATGTGACCTTGACGTGTGTCACACGTGAGTCCCTATCGATGGATTCAAAAATGTTATTTTGTCGTTTTTCATCAGCACTTTTCTTGCCTGTCAGGGGAGAAGCATTTCATTACAGACTTCATTTGTGATATATATTTTCTGTTTAATGATGTGTTCAAAATTATATTTCTCCAAATAATATTCTTTAATCCCTTCTATATAAAAAAAAATATGTTAGAAATAATTTCAGTCTAGGAGGATAAAATATATTATGACCTCAGGCATACAGATCAGCTGGTGACTGTTCCAATGGCATTCTAGAACTTGGTGAGTAAATAAGAAAACGTACAACATTATGGATAACAACACTCCAGCTTGATGACCATGTATGAATCAACATTGAATCATTGCTAATGCAACAAGAGTTTGCCACTAACGTGGCTATATCCCCCACCCCTGTTGCAGAATTTTTGACATAATTAAATCTAAACAAACCCTAACCTTTTTTAACCGAGGTCGAACTTGTCATGGAAATTGTGAAAAAAAGAAGAGTTTGGAACCTAAGTCCATCTTGCTGCCATGGAAACGTAAGAAAATAAAAATTTCTAAAATTTCTAAATAGCAAAAGGCACCAGTTCAGCATGTACCTGACAGACCTGCAAAGTTTGATGGAAAAATATTGAACGTTTTATGAGTTATGCTCCGGAAACGAACCCTACCCTCACAGAACCTAAGTCCATCTTGTTGCCAAGGAAACGTAAAAAATAAAAATTTCTAAAATTTCTAAATAGCAAAAGGCACCAGTTCAGCATGTACCTGACAGACCTGCAAAGTTTGATGAAAAAATATTGAACGATTTATGAGTTATGCTCCAGAAACGAACTCTACCCTCACAGAACCTAAGTCCATCTTGTTGCCAAGGAAACGTAAAAAATAAAAATTTCTAAAATTTCTAAATAGCAAAAGGCACCAGTTCAGCATGTACCTGACAGACCTGCAAAGTTTGATGAAAAAATATTGAACGGTTTCTGAGTTATGCTCCTGAAACGAAACGTGACGGACAGAGCCCGTTTCTATATCCCCTGCCAACTTTGTTGGGCGGGGGATAATAAACCAGAAGTTGTTATCCATAAAGTTGTACGTTTTCTAAGATCAGCTACAAAATACTGAAGTCATTGAAGTAACCTTGTTATTCAACTCCTGCCAACAGCTTCATGGTAATCTGCCGTCTGTGAAACAACCATGTACCAGGCACACAGTAAGCTCATCTTCACAGTGTGTCCATTCCAAGACACAATCTTAGTGCTATAATAATCTCCAACAACTCCTGTATTTTAACATACACAATGACCAAAGTGGCAGTGCTATGATGGGGACAGAGTGCTGGTTCCTATCCTTATTAATTGCAAGGCTCATAGATACTTTGATATTGCAGTTGTATTAAACATGAAAAAAGAAAGTCATGTTTCATCCGGCAAGATCTAGACCCAGCAAAGCCTGCTTTTTGGAGATATATTTTTTGTTCCATCTACTGGTAATCACTTTACCGGCTGATGGGATATTTGTGGTACTGGGGAATTTTGCTGTTGTGCTCCAAGACAGTATTGTGTAGAGAACAAATTTAAGAAGCTACAGTTGTTAAAACTATAAGACTCCCGCACCTTGATATAACAATACAGTCCTGTCATGAGAAGTCCATCTATGCCATAACATTACTATGGTAGGTCAGGAATTACCAGCATCTTAGGCTACGTATAAAGCCTGGAGCCTGGAGCCTGCAGCCTGCAGCTTGGCGCCACGGCAGATCAACAGTGATTGATATGGAGGTGGAAGGTTTGATATGATCAATGTACACAACAGTATTTACAAATTGTATGAAAATCAGAAAAGCCATAGAAACAAAACATTATCTCATGTCTAATAAAGAATGCCATTTTTATAGCAACCAGCATATATCACCTTTTAGATTTATGTTATATTGTGCATCAGTTTAGTGTTTGTGGGATGTAAAAAAATAGAAAATGATTATTCCATTTGTAACATATACATACATATTCCAAGAAACAAAGAAACAAGTTTGATCTAACGCTGAGACAAGAGGATCTGTTTTGATTCAATAGATTCAACATCTCCTACTGCTCTTAGTTCCCTTCAGTGATTGAAGATGGGACTACAACAGGGGAGATAACTCTACTTCACACATAAGCCCAGAGAAAAGTTCTCTGAAACATATTTTTTAAAAGCATTTATGAGGTTTATGGTTGTTGTAACTCATTGACCAAAAATGATTGTGGCTAGTTAAGTCCCTTTGATCATTATCAAGCTTAATTTCAAACAGTCTGTTAAACTAGATTGAACCACCTCTGTTAGAATGGCTTAGACATCCTTCTTGGTTATATACATAGGATATATTTTGCTGCAAAAATCAAGATTTAATGATCAAATGAATTCTGATACTAAACATAAACCCTTAGTGATACGAGACAGTTTATCCATTTACCCACAGGGAATTACTGATGAGGACAGGATACACACGAGGCTCAGCTTCAGTACCCAGTGTATGTCCAGCTGCACAGAGCCAGGCTTATATGTCCAGCACCCTGACAGCTCAGGGCCCACATGCACAAAGCAATCTTAGCGCTAAGATGATCATAACTCCCAGACGTTTACATATGCTTAAGATAATCTTAATGCTAAGATGGCTTTGTGCGAGTGGGCCCTGCCCGGAGGACCGGAATTTCAATAGACACAGTATTGTAATGCTGCACCAGTGAAACAATGAGGTGAAGAAAGACTTTAAAGTGTTCCCATCTTACACCACTGTAAACTGTTAAAAAAACTGAACTTCAACGGTAATAATATCTTCAGCCTCTCAGAGAAGGAAAAGTCTATCTTCTAACAGCTTTGTGACATCTGTACCTAACCTTCACGATGTAATAAACAAGGTGTGTCAAAATGAAGGCCTGAGGTTTATCGTGTCATACAAAATAAACAGAAGATGTAAAAAACTGCTGCAAATGGAAGCAAGCGCCTCTGCTGTATCGGGTGACATTCTTGGAATTATGCACAGATATATTATAGTCAACAATAATGTATCACAGGAAACTAGCTCATGTCATCTTCGTTATCTAAATCTGCTCTTGTTAGGCCAATTAGGGACTCCTTATCACTTGAAGGTAATTTGTTGTAATTATAATAGGACCAGCATAGGCGCTGGTTGGTTTTGGCGTATATGAACCCAGCAACAGCAAGTATGAGTACAATCAAGCCTGCACATATAGACACTAGTACCACCACAACACTACGTATTGAGTCAGGCATCCAGATGTTGAGTGACGACCGCTGTCCTTTCAGGCGGTGGTCTCCCTTGTCAACACACTTCTCTTTCCACAATACCTTCCCAGCCACACAGGCAGTGCACTTGTTGGAGAGATCGGAACATTTCTCGCACATCCTGGAGCACCTCAGACATTGACCATTATCTGCAGGGAAAATAAGACATTGTACATAAACAAGAGTTAATGAAAGTCCTTGTGTAACTTCATCAGATCCCAGATGTCTTTCTGATATTTCATTTAAATCAGTTTGAGCCGTACTGAAACAATTTTACCTCACCAGTGAGTCTTTAAGACTAAGACCATTTTTTATCTCATACAAATACCATGCATGCACCAGAAAAAAAAGACACTCTTTCATATCCACACACAACCTTACTCATGAATGTATGGTCAGTCACTTATGAATGTATGTCCTGACACACCCTCACTTATGCATGTATGTCCAGACACACCCTCACTTATGAATGTCTGTCCAGACACACCCTCACTCAAGCATGGATGTCCTGACACGTCCTCACTTATGCATGTATGTCCAGACACACCCTCACTTATGAATGTCTGTCCAGACACACCCTCACTTATGAATGTCTGTCCAGACACACCCTCACTTATGAATGTATGTCCTGACACACCCTCACTTATGCATGTATGTCCAGACACACCCTCACTTGTGCATGTATGTCCAGACACACCCTCACTTATGAATGTCTGTCCAGACACACCCTCACTCAAGCATGGATGTCCTGACAGGTCCTCACTTATGCATGTATGTCCAGACACACCCTCACTTATGAATGTCTGTCCAGACACACCCTCACTTATGAATGTATGTCCAGACACGTCCTCACTTATGAATGTCTGTCCAGACACACCCTCACTTATGCATGTATGTCCTGACACACCCTCACTTATGCATGTATGTCCAGACACACCCTCACTTATGAATGTCTGTCAAGGACACACCCTCACTTATGCATGTATGTCCCGACAAACCCTCACTTATGAATGTCTGTCCTGACACACCCTCACTTATGCATGTATGTCCCGAGACACCCTCACTTATGAATGTCTGTCCAGACACACCCTCACTTGTGAATGTCTGTCCAGACACACCCTCACTTATGCATGTATGTCCAGACACACCCTCACTTATGCATGTATGTCCCGACACACCCTCACTTATGCATGTATGTCCAGACACACCCTCACTTATGCATGTATGTCCTGACACGTCCTCACTTATGCATGTATGTCCAGACACACCCTCACTTATGAATGTATGTCCAGACACACCCTCACTTATGCATGTATGTCCAGACACACCCTCACTTATGCATGTATGTCCAGACACACCCTCACTTATGAATGTATGTCCAGACACACCCTCACTTATGAATGTATGGTCAGACACACCCTCACTTATGCATGTATGTCCCGACAAACCCTCACTTATGCATGTATGTCCCGACAAACCCTCACTTATGCATGTATGTCCCGACAAACCCTCACTTATGCATGTATGTCCCGACAAACCCTCACTTATGCATGTATGTCCACACACACCCACACTTATGCATGTATGTCCACACACACCCACACTTATGAATGTATGTCCACACACACCCACACTTATGCATGTAAAAAACACTCTTTCATATCCACACACAACCTCACTCATGAATGTATGGTCAGAGTCACTCATGAATGTATGTCCACACACACCCACACTTATGCATGTATGTCCACACACACCCTCACTTATGCATGTATGTCCACACACACCCACACTTATGCATGTATGTCCACACACACCCACACTTATGAATGTATGTCCACACACACCCACACTTATGAATGTATGTCCACACACACCCACACTTATGCATGTATGTCCACACACACCCACACTTATGCATGTATGTCCACACACACCCACACTTATGCATGTATGTCCACACACACCCACACTTATGCATGTATGTCCACACACACCCACACTTATGCATGTATGTCCACACACACCCACACTTATGAATGTATGTCCACACACACCCACACTTATGAATGTATGTCCACACACACCCACACTTATGAATGTATGTCCACACACACCCACACTTATGCATGTATGTCCACACACACCCACACTTATGCATGTATGTCCACACACACCCACACGTATGCATGTATGTCCACACACACCCTCACTTATGAATGTATGTCCACACACACCCACACTTATGCATGTATGTCCACACACACCCACACTTATGCATGTATGTCCACACACACCCACACTTATGCATGTATGTCCACACACACCCACACTTATGCATGTATGTCCACACACACCCACACTTATGCATGTATGTCCACACACACCCACACTTATGAATGTATGTCCACACACACCCACACTTATGAATGTATGTCCACACACACCCACACTTATGAATGTATGTCCACACACACCCACACTTATGCATGTATGTCCACACACACCCACACTTATGCATGTATGTCCACACACACCCACACGTATGCATGTATGTCCACACACACCCTCACTTATGCATGTATGTCCACACACACCCACACTTATGAATGTATGTCCACACACACCCACACTTATGAATGTATGTCCACACACACCCACACTTATGAATGTATGTCCACACACACCCACACTTATGCATGTATGTCCACACACACCCACACTTATGCATGTATGTCCACACACACCCACACTTATGCATGTATGTCCACACACACCCACACTTATGCATGTATGTCCACACACACCCACACTTATGCATGTATGTCCACACACACCCACACTTATGAATGTATGTCCACACACACCCACACTTATGAATGTATGTCCACACACACCCACACTTATGCATGTATGTCCACACACACCCACACTTATGAATGTATGTCCACACACACCCACACTTATGAATGTATGTCCACACACACCAACACTTATGAATGTATGTCCACACACACCCACACTTATGAATGTATGTCCACACACACCAACACTTATGCATGTATGTCCACACACACCCACACTTATGAATGTATGTCCACACACACCAACACTTATGAATGTATGTCCACACACACACACACTTATGAATGTATGTCCACACACACCAACACTTATGAATGTAAGCCTGTAAATATACACACAGGCTCACACATGTATGCCCAGACACACACCCACACACACATACACATCAGGCATGTAATACCCCAAACATGGTTATTTGAATAAACTCACTTTTATAGAAGCCGTCAAAGCATTCTTCAACACACACATGCTCCTTTGAAGTGATCAAGAGATAGTGGCCATCACGACACTTGATGCAATCCGACAAGAGTGGTCCTTGGCAGGTACTGCATGACTGATGACAGCTTTGACACATCTTCAGTTCCTTGTAGAAGCCGACTGGTGGACACTCTTGTACACACTCGCTGCAAGGACAATCAACCAGCTCAGCTTAACACAGCATAGACAATCATCTCAGCTTAACACAGCACAGACAGCCAACTCAGCCTAACACAGCATAGACAACCAGCTCAGCTTAACACAGCACAGACAACCAGCCCAGCTTAACACAGCATAGACAACCAGCTCAGCTTAACACAGCACAGACAACCAGCCCAGCTTAACACAGCATAGACAACCAGCTCAGCTAAACACAGCATAGACAACCAGCTCAGCTTAACACAGCATAGACAACCAGCTCAGCTTAACACAGCAAAGACAACCAGCTCAGCTTAACACAGCATAGACAACCAACTCAGCTTAACACAGCATAGACAACCAGCTCAGCTTAACACAGCATAGACAACCAGCTCAGCTTAACACAGCAAAGACAACCAGCTCAGCCTAACACAGCATAGACAACCAACTCAGCTTAACACAGCATAGACAACCAGCTCAGCTTAACACAGCATAGACAACCAGCGCAGCTTAACACAGCATAGACAACCAGCTCAGCTTAACACAGCATAGACAACCAGCTCAGCTTAACACAGCATAGACAACCAGCTCAGCTTAACACAGCATAGACAACCAGCTCAGCCTAACACAGCATAGACAACCAGCTCAGCTTAACACAGCATAAACAACCAGCTCAGCTTAACACAGCATAGACATCCAGCTCAGCTTAACACAGCATAGACAACCTGGTCAGTAAAAACAGCATGAACAACCACACCATTGCATCACAGCATAGACAACCATGCCAGTATACCACAGTAGAGACAACAAGCTCAGTATATATCAGCATAAACAACCACACTAGTGTCTCACAACATAGACAACCACTCCAGTGTACCACAGCATAGACAACCATGCCAGTGTACCACAGCATAGACAACCAGCTTGGCTTTATGCCATGCCAGCACATTCAGTAACAACAAATAAGACCATTCACCTTCTCTACTTCAGATTTCTGCTGAAATGCACCTTTCATCTTAATTTCGCATAAATCCTTCAATAACTGTGTCACAAAGATCAGTCAGCAGCAACGAGAGCCTGAAGACAGGGTGAACAGCAAGTTGGACTGGAATGGACTTACCCTGTGGAGCTGACCCTGAAGTTAGCACACTGCACGCACTGTGCGGGACTGGGGCCAGTGCAGTTGTTGGCGCACTGCTGGTCACACTCATACTGCAGGACAAACACAGAACATACAGCATCATTAGTAAGACATGAAATAGCTGATTTCATAGGACAGGTGGTAATGATTGCATGACAACAGTGCCATAACTTCTAGACATGAACATAACTTCAAATCTGCTGACACCTCATATGTAGAAGCCTACTTAGGGACCAGTTCAACAGTTTGATGTCAGATGAAAAACTTAATTTCTTGAGACATCTCCCCCACCCCACCAAACAAGAGTCATCAGAAAGATGACATATCCCCCCGTCAGCTGTCTGTAAAGTAACAACAAGTAAATGTGCAATTCTGTATGTAATATAAGTCAAGAGTTGAATGTTCTTTAAGAAGCATACATTGTTTACCAACAAAAAATACACCATGGTCGCATCCATATGAAATGGAAAGTAAAACGTGTGTTTCTGTGGTTTTTTTTAATGCAAACAAATGACAAATTACAAGAAACAAGCGTATAGTCAACGAAGTCATCTATATCCCCCACCCATTTTAACACGTTATTGTCCCAAACCAGGTAAATGACCCAACATTTCTCTTATCCCGTGTCAAAAGAGCTGCATTGGAAATTCTAAAATAAACATTTCTAAAACTCCTTAATATCAAATGGCACCTGTTCAGTATGTACTTTATATATGGACATGCAATGTTTGGCAAGGAAATATTTAACAATTTATTTGTTATACTCCATAAGTGAACCCACCTTATATGAAAACTTAAATCCAACTTGTTGCCATGGAAACGTAAAAAATAAAAAAATAAAAATTTCTAAATAGCAAAAGGCACCAGTTCAGTATGTGCCTGGTAGACATGCAAAGTTTTGTAAGAAAGTATTTAACGTTTTTTGAGTTATGCTCCGGAAACGAACACCACCCTTATAGAACCTAAGTCCAACTTGTTACCATGGAAACATAAAAAATAAAAATTTCTAAAATTCTAAATAGCAAAAGGCACAACTTCAGTATGTGACTGATAGATATGCCAAGTGTCGATCAAATACACTGAATTATTTTCGAGTTCTGCCCCGGAAAAGGAAATGATTACGGACGGACAGACGGACAGACAGACTGGCTGATTGCTATATCCCCCCGCATTATATGTCGGGGGAAAAAACCCCAACAAATCCTGAAAATGTTGAACTTAGTGGCCTCTTTTGTCACGCATTCTCATGTTTTGTCCATTTTTGGGGGGTCAAATGAATTGTGTTGATAATCATTTGTAGTTTTTTTATAGATCTTATATGTCATCATATATTACGCACTACACTAGATGGTCTATGTCGGCGACGATAAAACCCTAGGAAAGGCTGGATGTTTTTTAAAGACAAATCCTAACAGCATATAAATGAAAATAGGACCTCACAGGTGGAGACACCATCTGCCCTCTCTTACCGGTGTGGTGGGTCCAGTGCCTGGGGCCTGAGTGGACACTTTGTCTGATGCTGGAGTGGATGGTGCTGGTGTGGATGTAGCAGGCTCCTGAGAACCCTCGGGGAGAAGGTGGACGGGATCTGATGCCGTACCATGCAGGATCAGAGACCACTGCTGTAAAGTGCCTGTGTACAACAGAAGGAGAGTACAGCTAGACTGTAATCAGCAACAGTTCTAAGTCTGCTGCCATGGCAATCACCATGATGAGTACCTCACAGCTCAGTGGCCACAGTGCCAACACCTTCATCTTAATCCACCCCCTGTTTAAGATGGGTACTGAGTTTCCCACAGATACTACAACTGACTAAAACTTGTAGAATTTTCCTATTCAGAATATTCTATAAGTAATACGTTACCACTGTTATACCGAGGCTGTTGTCTCCCACAACTGCTCTTATAGCGAAATCTACCACAGCGATTCAATTACCTCATGCAGCACGTGCGTAGCCACCTGAGCTGCCATGTGACACCCTTCACTCTTGTCTCTTGTGAGAGCAAGTGCTTGGGGGACAGTCGGGCGGGCATCAGCCAAGTGGTAACGTATTACTTATAGAATATTCCGAATAGGAAAATTCTACAAATTACATTAAGTAATATGCTACCACTGTTATACCGAGGCTGATTACCACAGTAGGCGGTGGGGAGCGCTACAACCCAAACCTGACTGCTCGTTGTTCCTTTTCCGACCATCGGAAGTAAACAAGGCGGAAGCACACGATGCACATGCTCCCAGCTTGGCGTTACCCTATAGGAATACCAAAGCACTGTCAAGCGCATACCGCAAGGCTCAATCGTCTTTGCCAAATGATTGGTGACTCCAAACGGCCTCACTGGATAGGTATTTCATCGCCGCAGCGGATGAGAACACAGTACCCGTGTGAGCTGAATCTTAGATCAGGTTAAACAGTCGAGAAGAGGGAAATTAATTTCATCCAGACTGTATATCCCAAAGCAAGCCTACTTAAAGTATGCGATAGGCGCGTGACCTAATTCCAGTATTTGTAAGCATGCATTACAAGGTTGGAACACATGACGGACAATTAAATAAATAATTGTCAAAAATACAAATAAGGACAAAACACACAAAATGCCGCCTCACCTGTGTTGTGAGAGCGCTGGTTTGCGGGACCCCCCACTCCTATTACCCACGGCGGTGGGAACATTGGAGTCGACCCAGATTGACCACCGTGCAAAGGTCTGAAGCCTGAGGATTTCGGAACTGCGCTAGGCACACCCCTTAGATGATCGCTTGCGCTGCGATCAGCGGCCCAAGACGGTGCACACCTTCCACGTCTTCATCAGCAACCTTTCTGAGGTAATGATTGGCAAATACCGAGTCAGAACGCCAGTAACAACCTCTCAATATTCTGTGAACAGAGATATTAGAGTGTAGGGCAAATGTTGTCGCTAGCGCACGGATCTCGTGCGGGTTTGACCCCGCAACCGGTACCCCCCGTGACCGGTATGCCAGATTGATGACAGAACGAAGCCATAACGAAATCGAGTTGCGAGTTATGTCATCAGTCCGATTAGGGTTACACGATATGAACAGACGGTCGCGCCCTTGTCTACGTTCATTCGAGGCCTAACCGGACACAGTGATCTGTCCTCGGTATCAGCAGGATGTAAAATTTCATTGAGTGATCTTACAGTGAATTCTCTCTCCGTTTGGCCAAATTTCTGATTCTTAGCGACGAAGCCCATGAGCAGGCCCAGGCGGACCGCTCCTTCGTCGCCCCTATCGAATCGAACCTTGGTGACATCGAGTGCGTGTATTTCCGACACTCCTGCCGCCGTGGCAAAGGAGAGGAGAAATGCTGTTTTCCAAGTCACATGCCGGAACTAAGCACTACTCAAGGGTTCGCCCGGAGCCTTCGTAAGTGATTGCAACACTAAGGAGAGATCCCAGGCCGGTGCCCGAAGGCGGCCCTTTTTAAGATCTTGCTGCTTGAAACCCTTGATAATACCCCGAATCACCGGCTCTTTTGAGAGACTTGTAGCCATAGCAACGCCCCGTACCGTAGCAACGGATGAGACATAGTTTGCAATGGAACCCCCGGAGAGTTTCTGTTTCATAAGTGAGACATGAAACGAGCAATATCCAGCACAGATACCTTATCTGGCGAATGAATGTGATGTTTACAACACCACTTCGTGAAAATAGCCCAGCGTGCATTATACACCTTCTGGGTAGAATCACGATGCATACTAACGTATGCCCGAGACGCCCGACGAGAGAAACCTTTTCTCCTCAGTCGCTCGGTGACAACATCCACGCGTGCAGATTGAACTGCCCTGCGTTCGGTGCAGTCTTGGGCTGATACAAGTAGCCCTAACAGCTGTTCCCAAAAGTGAACAGTCTGTTGCACCGCGAAGACTTTGGCAATCATCGCCTGAATCATGTGCCACCGATCTTGGGGGACAAAGAGGCGATGGGTCACCGTGTCGAACCGACCTCCGATGAACTTCAAGTTCTGCGAGGGGGTTAACTCGCTCTTGGGGAGATTGACAATCCACCCCAATTGCTCAAAGAGCTGAAGTGCGAAATCGAGGTGGCTTGACAGGGTGTCCGTCATTCGATTGACCACTAGCGAGTCGTCCAGGTACGCGAAGTACCTGATACCCCTCTTGTGGAGGAACCCCACAAGGGGGCTGGTTAACCGGGTGAACAGCCAGGGAGCGGACGATAGGTTGAATGGGAGTGCTACCCATTCGCCGGCCTTGAAAGACGAACCTGAGATACCTATGATGGTCCGAATGAATCAGAACATGCAGATAAGCATCCTTCAGGTCGATCGATGCGAGCCAGTCGGCGGCCATGATCAGTGCTTTCAGGTCCGCCAAGGTCAACATTCCGAACTTGGGCGGTTTGTGTAGGTAAAACTCGTTGAAAGATTTCAGGTTGTGAATCATTCTGAGTTCGGCACTGTCCTTCTTGGGAACGAGAAATATCCTGGAGTAAAACCCTGGTGTTATTTCTGGTAGGGCTAACTCCCGTACCGCCCTCTTCTCCACCAACCTGCCAATGGCATCGGCAAGGATGGGAAGATCGGCTTCCGAATAGAAACCTTCCAACGGGGTGGCGGTGAGCGGCGGATCCGCCTTGAGATCTAGCCGATAGCCGTACCGGATCATGTTGACCACCCAGGGGTCGTCGAACACTTGTTCCCAATTCTCCCAGTAAGTCTGGAGTCTGGCTCCTACCGGGGAAGGAAAGGGAGGCCTGACAGGCTGCGGCAGGCGTAACTGTCCAGGGTCGAGTGTCTCGGGTTCGCCTACGGGCCAACCTAAGTTGACGCTGTCGGCATACGAACCCCTCCAGTGAGAGTCACCTGGAGGAGCCCTTGCCGTCCTTAGACGGTTTCGGCTGCCCCCAGTGTCCCTTCTTCCCGCAAAAGGGCGGCAGATTGCCCTTACCGGCGTCCTCGGGGCGGGGCTCCCTCCCGGAGGAAGAAGGACCCGACCCCTTGGACCTACCGGCCGCAGCATCATGGCACCCGGCACCTAGGCGTTGATGCAAGGACCCAACAAGATCCAGCTTGTGCCGAGAGGCCTCAGCAGACACAGCAGCCTGTTGTTCTTTGAGAACGCCAGGGATCTTGTTATTAAACAGGGTCCGTGCAGACCAAGGCTGCGAAAGGAGGCGGCAAGGTACGCTTGCGGTCTGAGGAAGTGGCACGTGCCAGAAAGAAAGGCCGAAGCCCCGGCGACGTACTCAAGCAAAGCATTTAAACCGATTTAACAGTTGTAAATGCGCTGGTTTTGGTCCGTGGGAGAACCTTCGACCAGACTGGCCGCTGCTGCCAAGTAGGTATCCCCGTGCGACATAGCGAGCATGGAGCGCCTAGCGAGGGTGTCTAACTGCTGCAAGGTAGCCTGGTGGGGCACGAACACCCAAACGCTCGACGTGGGCCTCCGCGGTCATGCACCGGGAATGAAACCTTTCTCCATGACGGCGGTGCAAAGGGAGTCCCCGACCGGAGGCTGCTGCAAAAGCTTTCTCCAGGGAAGGCCTAATACCGCGCAACAAGGTTGAAGCGGGGAAAGCCTTGTCGGACGACTCCTCGTAGACCTCAGCGGAACCCACGGAGCCGTGGATTCCACGCGGTACTGGCAAGGGCTTGGGCATGTCCTCAAAGAGTTCATAAAGCATGGCCACCCAGTCCTTAACCGATAGCGGACCCAACGGTTCGGGGGAAGGACCGGTGACCCCGTCGGGAGCCCCCCCGTCGCACCGAAAGACCCCACGTCCGAACCGAAAGGCCACCGAAGAGGCCGGGGACAGAACAGCCAGCGGCCTATCTTGGTATAAGGACGCCAGCTTGGAGTCAACGCGGTAACGGAGTCCCCGGTCAGCCCAAGGGCCGCCGGGGGATCTGCTGCAGACGTGGAAGTGGTACCCGCAAGGGGACCCCGACCGGACGAGCCGGCCACCTCAGGGATGGAGACAGACTGCACGTAGAGCCTGTAGCGCTCGAACGCCTCAGGCCCGAGACCGTTGCACAGGGCGCACCGGGTGTCCCCGCAAGGAACCCTGCACCGCGGGCAACGACCGTGGGAATCACGGGCCGATAGAAATTTGCGGCACAGCGCGCAACGCCTGGTTGCGGGAGTGGAGGGGGTGGAGCACGGTGAAGTGTCCATGTCAGACATTGTTTAAGCTATAAACAAAGAACAAAACATGGTTACAACACAAGCGCCACAAATATTCACAACGAACATTTTCACAAGAAAATAAACGAGTAATGCGAAAATATAGAACATACACATATTTTAGCGTGAGAGAAATAGGTGATGTAAAAAAAACCAAACATACTTTAACAGGGGAACGTAAGACGCAACGTGCAGACAAAACACCCCCTAAGTATATAGAGAAAAGGGCGGGAATTTTTTTTCCTTTTGGCGGGAAAAATATTTCCAAGCATAGTTAAAGCAAACGCCCTCAATAGATACAGTTTATATGCTTTTAATAAACAGTAATAAATATCACCAAAGGATGAAGAAACAGGAACGCTTCCGAGCAGTCTTTGAACGTCTTGCTGAGACAAGAGTGAAGGGTATCACATGGCAGCTCAGGTGGCTACGCACGTGCTGCATGAGGTAATTGAATCTCTGTGGTAGATTTCGCTATAAGGGCAGTTGTGGGAGACAACAGCCTCGGTATAACAGTGGTAACGTATTAATTAATGTAATTAAAATATCAACTGTTGTCCATTACTGGATCTTAACATAATCTGTAAATATCAAAAGATCAGTAAAGAAATTACTAACTGGTAACATACATGAAAAATCACAACTTTCACATTTACAGATATTTATCACAATCAATCCAAGTAAACTGAAATGGATCTACATACATATGAATTACTTCAATGAGAGAGGTAAAACATTTTGTTTGTTATCACAATGATAAAGTGAATTAATTGAGATCGAGACAGTAGGTGACGAGAGCTTACACACAAAGCAGAAGCAAACTAGAATTGGTGAAAGTCTTCTGGCTACAACTTACCTTCACTAGACTCACAGAAAGAACATCAAAACAATACACTAGCACAAAGCAGAAAGAAGCAAGCAAAAAATAAATATATACCAGTCAACTTTAGAAACAAATGTTAAGAAAATATTTACAAATACATCTAATCTCTATCAAAACTTGAGTAGTAGTAGTATATCAAGTTTTGCCTGTATGTACATCAGTCATGTCTCACCTGTCTGGTCTTACCTGTCTGTATGTCTCACCTGTATGTACATATCTCAGGTCTCACCTGTCTGGTCTTAACTGTCTGTACATCAGTCATGTCTCACTTGTCTGTACATCAGTCATGTCCCACCTGTCTATACATCAGTCATGTCTCACCTGTGTGTTGTTCAGTAATGTCTCATCTGTCTGTATATCAGTCATGTCTCACCTGTCTATACATCAGTCATGTCTCACCTGTGTGTTGTTCAGTAATGTCTCATCTGTCTGTATATCAGTCATGTCTCACCTGTCTATACATCAGTCATGTCTCACCTGTCTGTACATCAGTCATGTCTCACCTGTCTGTACATCAGTCATGTCTCACCTGTCTGTACATCAGTCATGTCTCACCTGTCTGTACATCAGTCATGTCCCACCTGTCTGTACATCAGTCATGTCCCACCTGTCTGTACATCAGTCATGTCTCACCTGTCTGTACATCAGTCATGTCTCACCTGTCTGTACATCAGTCATGTCCCACCTGTCTGTACATCAGTCATGTCCCACCTGTCTGTACATCAGTCATGTCTCACCTGTCTGTACATCAGTCATGTCCCACCTGTCTGTACATCAGTCATGTCTCACCTGTCTGTACATCAGTCATGTCCCACCTGTCTGTACATCAGTCATGTCCCACCTGTCTGTACATCAGTCATGTCCCACCTGTCTGTACATCAGTCATGTCTCACCTGTCTATACATCAGTCATGTCTCACCTGTGTGTACATCAGTCATGTCTCACCTGTCTGTACATCAGTCATGTCTCACCTGTCTGTACATCAGTCATGTCCCACCTGTCTGTACATCAGTCATGTCTCACCTGTCTGTACATCAGTCATGTCCCACCTGTCTGTACATCAGTCATGTCTCACCTGTGTGTTGTTCAGTTATGTCTCATCTGTCTGTACATCAGTCACGTCTCACTTGTCTGTACATCAGTCATGTCTCACCTGTCTGTACATCAGTCATGTCTCACCTGTGTGTACATCTCTCAGGTCTCACCTGTCTGGTCTTAACTGTCTGTACATCAGTCATGTCTCACTTGTCTGTACATCAGTCATGTCTCACCTGTCTGTACATCAGTCATGTCTCACCTGTGTGTTGTTCAGTTATGTCTCATCTGTCTGTACATCAGTCACGTCTCACTTGTCTGTACATCAGTCATGTCTCACCTGTCTGTACATCAGTCATGTCTCACCTGTGTGTACATCTCTCAGGTCTCACCTGTCTGGTCTTAACTGTCTGTACATCAGTCATGTCTCACTTGTCTGTACATCAGTCATGTCTCACCTGTCTATACATCAGTCATGTCTCACCTGTGTGTTGTTCACTTATGTCTCATCTGTCTGTACATCAGTCACGTCTCACTTGTCTGTACATCAGTCATGTCTCACCTGTCTGTACATCAGTCACGTCGCACTTGTCTGTACGTTAGTCATGTGTGGAAAATGATTGAGTAGGTTTAGATATATCATGGATCTGAACAAAAAGCAGTACAGTTATGTGTTTTTAAAATGTCCATGTGCTTAACCCAACAGTAGATGATTTTACGAGTGTTTCTATCACTTTTAGCAGTCAAGACATATCATCCAGCAACCCTGTCCCGTTTTTTATTGTAAGTATAACATACAATACATATACCACACACACTACATACAAAACATTCACCACAAGACTCAAAACTTAATGGCTCTTCATTCAACTGGTATCTGACAGCTGTGACTGCTGTTGACTGCCATTAAGAATATTAGGCCTAAAATATTATGTGTTCCAATATCACATATTAATAAAATATCAAAAGTGACATTAATCTATAAGCATAGTATTTGCAATAGCATTTTTCAAAAAGATTCAGCAGAATATAGGGTAAATATTTAACACTATTTATACATATACATAGGGGTAGGGGATGGGGGTCAGAGGGAATAAGGGGAGGGTCACCAAAGGAGGTTCATAAAAACTAATAAACATATTTGGGGAGGGTCATAAAAAGAAGGCCATTTAATAATAACACATGAAGTGCTTTTGTATTTTGTATTTTCAGGGAGTGTGGAAAAAAATGTACAAGGAGATGGGGAGGGACATCCCAAAATATGACAAGCATTAGATCAGGGTCATCATTTTCAGTAGATTAGCGCATCCAAAAGCTCGGACACCCAAACCCAACCCCCTGTAATAAATTACTGGTCCCTAAATCAAGTGATCTGAAACACATTTTGTTTTAAGCCTATTTGCAAAAAGAAAACAAGCAACATACCAAGCACAGTAACAGGGAGAATAGACAAGCCGTTATAGCGATAGTTGCGCCCAAAGTAGGGCAGAGAGGAGTAGGGGGACAAACTACCTCCCCCGGACCCATAGCTGCCAGCATCCTCAATCTCCAGCGTCCACTCCCCTTCTGACCGCTCCCCCCAGAAGTGGACGGACAGAAACGGCCAATTGTTGAAGTTTCCACCCATCGAATCATTTGGGCGTCGTGGTAGAAGTGTGGATCTCGTCCCACTGGGAGAGGTGAGGTATATTTTGACGTCACCGCGACGGTGGGCATTTAGCGACACTTTGGCCTGGACGTGCTCCAGGAACCTCACCTCCCTGTTTGTACCACCACATCCATCTGTTCGGATTTTTAATGTTACTTTTGTACCTGATAACGCTCTGTAAAAAAAGTTGAGAAAACTTCCTCACTCAAATCCATAAAGTCATAATTGTCGCAAAACTATCATTACAAGTCTTGAGAAATGGCAATATCACACAACATTAAACACACTCTAAACACATTATTCTTATGCATAATGTCCAGTATTCTATCATGGCTGCAGGTGAGCTCAAGGTCATCATTGCTTATTGGACAACAGATAATGTTGTACAGTGTTAAGTGTACCATCTCTCTCAGTATGAAATGCTTTTCTTTAAATAAAAATAGTATCTCTATTAGGTCCAAGCTATCCACTAATACACAACAGATCATGCCAAGACATATTTCATTTCTTAATCCACATGTATTCATGCTGTAGGTGAATGATCAACTCCAACTGGAAAGATGTTGTTTGCTTGTTTGTTTTTGTTGTTTAATACCGTACACAGCAATATTACAGCTATATGACGGTAGGCTGTCAATAATGGAGTCTGGGTCAAACAATCCAGTGATTGACATCACAAACAATGAACTACGCAATTGGGATATGACATTTATCAACCAAGTCAGAGGGCTTGTCCACCCGATCCTGTGAGTTGCCCTCTTATGACAAGCAAGGGTTGGTGAAGACCTATTCTGACCCAGATGTTCACAGCTGTATAAAGCCAGGAGGTAGTACTAACACATTCTGCTGCGCGGAGTGAACTTCACAGATGTGCTGCTCCGGCACGTTGGTCCACTGAAGGGCAAGGTCAACCATCTTGTCTCCGTCCATCAATCCATACCCATATCTCAGACTCACTAACAACAGACAAAAGAGTCAGGTGAGGGTACAGTTCAAAAAGTTGCAGGATAAAACACTTTTATTCCAAAAGCATTGAGACAGATGCCACCATCAAAAATAATGAAAATGTTGACATAATCAAAGATATTTTTGTCCAGTAAATCCTACGTCACAATCATTTAATAAAGTTGATGGCGCTGCAGAGTTTTCGACTTTGTCAAATTGACTGTTTTTAACTCAACTGACGACAGAGATACCGACCTTAAACTGTAAATCCCCTCAACAATTGATTTTGTCATATAGAAAACTTGTAGAACTCTTAACCTTGCAGGCCAAAATGAATTTTATCTGACATTAAGTTTTTAACAGCTCAATTAACATGATTAAAGGGATATGAAATATGTTAATGTCAAACATGTATCACACTCAATAGGAAACCAAACTATCAATTTCTGTTGATCTGTTATTCAGGTACCAACAAAAGGAAGTAATCTCTCATTACCTTTCCTCTTCAAGGCGTTGACAACCCACTGTCCATCAACAAAGGGTTCTGGTGTGGCAGCCATCAGCGTGATATACTGGACGTCCCTCCACGTCAAGCTAGGGCTGAAACAGCACAATACAAGGTGAGGGTACCTGGTGTGACTGTGGGTACAAGGTGTGACTGAGGGTACCTGGTGTGACTGAGGGTACATTGTGTGAGTGAGGGTACATGGTGTGACTGAGGGTACCTGGTGTGACTGTGGGTACAAGGTGTGACTGAGGGTACCTGGTGTGACTGTGGGTACATGGTGTGACTGAGGGTACCTGGTGTGACTGAGGGCACCTTGTGTGACTTAGGGCACATGGTGTGACTGAGGGTACATGGTGTGACTGTGGGTACATGGTGTGACTGAGGGTACATGGTGTGACTGAGGGTACATGGTGTGACTGTGGGTACATGGTGTGACTGAGGGTACATGGTGTGACTGAGGGTACATGGTGTGACTGAGGGTACCTGGTGTGACTGTGGGTACATGGTGTGACTGAGGGTACCTGGTGTGACTGAGGGTACCTGGTGTGACTGAGGGTACAAGGTGTGACTGTGGGTACATGGTGTGACTGAGGGTACCTGGTGTGACTGAGGGTACAAGGTGTGACTGAGGGTACATGGTGTGACTGAGGCTACCTTGTGTGACTGTGGGTACATGGTGTGACTGAGGCTTAATTGTGTGACTGTGGGTACATCGGTGACTGAGGCTAAATTGTGTGACTGTGGGTACCTGGTGTGACTGTGGGTACATGGTGTGACTGTTGGTACAAGGTATGACTGAGGGTACATGGTGTGACTGAGGGTACCTGGTGTGACTGAGGGTACCTGGTGTGACTGAGGGTACCTGGTGTGACTGAGGGTACATGCTGTGACTGTGGGTACATGGTGTGACTGTTGGTACAAGGTGTGACTGTGGGTACATGGTGTGACTGAGGGTACATGGTGTGACTGAGGCTACCTGGTGTGACTGAGGGTACATGGTGTGACTGAGGGTACATGGTGTGACTGAGGGTACAAGGTGTGACTGAGGGTACATTGTGTGACTGAGGGTACATGGTGTGACTGAGGGTACATGGTGTGACTGAGGGCACATGGTGTGACTGAGGGTACAAGGTGTGACTGTGGCTACAAGGTGTGACTGAAGGTACATGGTGTGACTGAGGGTACATGGTGTGACTGAGGGTACATGGTGTGACTGAGGATTCATGGTGTGACTGAGGGTACAAGGTGTGACTGAGGGTACATGGTGTGACTGAGGGTACAAGGTGTGACTGTGGCTACAAGGTGTGACTGAAGGTACATGGTGTGACTGAGGGTACATGGTGTGACTGAGGGTACATGGTGTGACTGAGGGTTCATGGTGTGACTGAGGGTACAAGGTGTGACTGAGGGTACCTGATGTGACTGAGGGTACAAGGTGTGACTGAAGCTACATGGTGTGATGGGGCTAAAAGATGTGATTGAGGAATGGGGTGCTGGGTACACATTCTAACCCAGATCACAACTGGGTGAGGACTACAATGAAAGTTTGAGGGTGGTGTGCATGGTGTGACTGAGACCTACTTTGCCAGGAGGGCGAGGGCAACAATCTCGGCTGTGAGGGTGGTGTGCATGGTGTGACTGAGACCTACTTTGCCAGGAGGGCGAGGGCAACAATCTCGGCTGTGAGGGTGGTGTGCACGGTGTGACTGAGACCTACTTTGCCAGGAGGGCGAGGGCAACAATCTCGGCTGCGAGGGTGGTGTGCATGGTGTGACTGAGACCTACTTTGCCAGGTTGCCAGGAGGGCGAAGGAAACAATCTCGGCTGTGAGGGTGGTGTGCATGGTGTGACTGAGACCTACTTTGCCAGGTTGCCAGGAGGGCGAGGGCAACAATCTCGGCTGCGAGGGTGGTGTGCATGGTGTGACTGAGACCTACTTTGCCAGGAGGGCGAGGGCAACATTCTCGGCTGTGAGGGTGGTGTGCACGGTGTGACTAAGACCTACTTTGCCAGGAGGGCGAGGGCAACATTCTCGGCTGTGAGGGTGGTGTGCATGGTGTGACTGAGACCTACTTTGCCAGGTTGCCAGGAGGGCGAGGGCAACAATCTCGCCTGCGAGGGTGGTGTGCAGGGTGTGACTGAGACCTACTTTGCCAGGTTGCCAGGAGGGCGAGGGCAACAATCTCGGCTGCGAGGGTGGTGTGCATGGTGTGACTGAGACCTACTTTGCCAGGAGGGCGAGGGCAACATTCTCGGCTGTAAGGGTGGTGTGCATGGTGTGACTGAGACTTACTTTGCCTCGAGAGTTAGGGCTACAATCCCAGCTGCAAGGGGTGCGGAGGCAGAAGTTCCTGTGTGAGAACTTGTGCACCGGTCATGGAGGTCCACCGTTGTCTGTCAGCAGTCAGGATGAAAAAAAAAGGAGGATGAATTAGCTTCAAGGATATATTTTCTGTCTGGTGTTTTTTTCGCATTGAATTTTATTGTATTGTAAACTTAAAAAGTCAACGTATCATGTAAACTTGAAACATCTGATAAGGAAATGGGAAGAATACCCATAGGTTACAAAGAGAAGAATAACTTATGACATTTGCACATATTCATTTCAGCATTTCTGCATGTTGACAGTTGAAGCAACATAATGTCACATGGCTTCACTGTTCATATCACAGATTGACAACATGAGAACAATAGCATGATTTCAGTGTTTCAGTGTAATGACACGGCTCATCAGACATTTCTTCATGTTCTTGAATCTCAACGAAAAACAAAAAGTAACCTGGTCAAATCTTGTATGATCTGTCCATCTCGAATAAATTTTGTAAGGCTAAAACCATTCCTTCCTGGACAGATAAACTGTAATTCCTCCAGCTAGCATCCTGGATGATCCAGCGTGTTGTACCTCCATTCTATGATGCTGTACACCTTGGACCCATTCTCCATTCTCTACCATAGATTTGTTTGGCCAGTGCCATCCCCAAAGCCATCACCGTTACCAAGCACATCACACAGACCCTCCTTCACTCAGGAGGGTCCTTTGTTTGGGTGGCTGAGTTCAGTGTTAGCTATCCATATCGGGCTCAACACATAGCTGTGGTGATGGTTAGCTTGAGGGCAGCCATAATAGAACAGAGCTGTAACACTGTGAACCACAGAGGATGTCTAGCTTGTTGGTTATTCTCTACAGCTGCTTGAGGTAACTCACGATCTGCTTCTCGTTGTAGGCGCCACTGCTGTAGGTGGTGGCAAGGGTGGAGCTGCACTCCTCCAGGTACCATGGCTTCGTCCCCTTCTCAGAAGTGCTGCTGATGGAGAGGGTGTAGATACTGTTGGTATACCCATCACAGTTACAGGAGTCTTGCGCACTGCCACCGTTACCGGATGCCCACACAAAGATTGATCCTTTCCCACCTCGGCCCTTCACAAGATAGAAACATGAATTGAACAGGGTTAGATGAAAACATCAACACAACTGATGTCGATAGACTACCGCAGCCCTTCACATGATATGAATGCACTGAACTGGGTTACATGAACACAACTGAGGGTGTATAGGGACAATATCAACTGATATCTAATGCTGTCGTTGTTGTTTGTTGTTTAACACCACACTCTGCAATATTCCAGCTATATGACCGCGAGGGACACCAGAAATGGGTTTCACACATTGTACCCATGTCGGGAATCAAACCATGGAGCTTCGGTGTAGCGAGCGAACACTTTAACCACTAGGCTACCCGACCGCCCCCATAAAATGAGAAGGAGACTAATGAGTGAAAAGATTTCCCATCATAAATGTTCTCCCTTGAATTGACATATTTCTCTACCTTTACGATGCCTTCTTTAAATGCTTTCTTGGCGAGCGGTCCAGGCCCGTCAACAACTCGGCCATCGTCATCCGGGCCCCAGCTGGCAGAGTAGATGTCAATGTGAGTGTTGTTGAAGCTCAGTGATGTTGCCTCAACAGCATCATATACCTCACCATCCAACATACGTACACCTGAAACACAGGAGTAAGATACAAGTGTGCCATCCATGTATATGACACATGCAAGAGATAACACAAGCAAACTGCATTATCACGATCTCCTGCCATGGGGCTCATGACAATTTTGTTTGTTCATAGTAGTGAATATAAACTATTAAAAAAAAGTCCTATAAAGCCATAAGAAGAGAAAAAAATGATTAAATCGTGAAAATAATACACACAAAGATCCCTCTCAGGAAAAATAATTTATGGCACCAATTCTTAAACTGACAAGTATCTCTTAGATAAGCTAACTTTAGTAGTTTCTGAGAAAACTTGTCCCCACTGCAGACACTATGCACCTTATAAAATAACATTGATCAAGGCCCACAACTGTGTATGCTGAAAATCTAAAAACATCTAGCCATAAAAAATATTTATGGCACCAATTCAAACTCAGTCTTGATAAGCATCTCTTAGATAAGCTTATAAACTTTCATTCATGTAACTTCAGTAGTTTATGAGAAAGGGTGTCCCCTCTTATGCACAAAGTTGAAAAGGATGAACAAAGGGCCATAACTCTGAAGAAAATAATTAAGACACCAATTTTCAAACTCATCTGAGATCGTGACAAGTAACATCAGTGTGTAAAATTTCATTTCTTTAACTTCAATAGAGTTTGAGAAAATTTGTCCTCCATTGATAAGGGACAGACGGACGGAAGGATGGAAGGATGGAAGGATGGATGAACTGCATTCCCATATCCCCAAACCCATATTGCTTATACATGAATAGGAAAACCTGTCTATTTATAGATTTCATATAACATGTCACACTTATCAGTGTAGAAGTGAAAATACGTCAATATTTCACATGCCACAATTTTCAGTTACAAAACACAAACAAATGATAACCAGACATTTACTGGACAGAAATGTGTGAGTACCTCCAATTCTGGACCTGTAGGCGATACCGACTCCACACTTGGAGTTGTTGGCCGCTGCAGACACCTCCCCTGCACACCGCGTGCCATGTCTGGAACACACACCTCGCATTGCATTCCAATTGTACACCTCAAAACCGATTGTGGAACTCTATTCCTTTATGAGATCAAAATTTTGTATCTTTGTACACATTCAAATACATATGAAAATGCATGTCATTACCTCTGGGAATATACATTGTTTAGTCATCAGCGTGTATTTATGTTTAAAACCATATATCACATCAACAGACTACAGACCTGTTCTCGTTTGTGGGATCATATCTCGGCATGGGATCGTTATCATGGCCATTGACATCATAGCTCGCGTAGGGATCCTGCAACAGAATGTGTCTCTGGGTCCAAATTTGATGTAATTTCAAGAAACTTTGACATTGGCACATAAACGTGGCAGAAAGGAAACACAATCAAGCAAGTGTGAGTGAGTGAATGAATGTGTACGGTTTTACGCTGCTTTTAGCAATATTCCAGCAATATCACGGCGGGGGACACCAGAAATGGGCTTCACTCATTGTACCCACGAAGGGAATCGAACCCGTGTCTTCGGCGTGACGAGCGAACTCTTCAACCACTAGGCTACTCAACCGCTCCCAATCAAGCGAGAGAGTTGAATCATTTCCAATAAGGAACTTTCTAATGGTTAACTTTGATGGTACACCTCATGACTCCCATGACACAGGGCTTGCAGCTATATTCCTAGCCAGTTGTTTCTCTGTCTATTTTCTGGAAGATGTTTTGTTTGCTTTTTTTGTTGTTTAATGCTGGACTCCAGCTACTATGATGGCGGTCTGTAAATAACCGAGTCTGGACAAGACAAATCAATGATTGATATTATGTGCAACAATCAACATCTTCAGAAATGAAGAATCATCTTTTATAAGATAAAATTAGATTGGGTAAAGTTCAGATTTCAACATAACCATGACAGAAAGTGAAAGCCTACATAGTTGTCAATGAGATCAGCGTGGTTCCTCTCTATCCCATCGTCCAGAATCGTGATGACGACGCCCTTGCCCGTGTAACCACGCATCCATGCTGGTATGACATTCATGTCAAATCCATTAGCAGCCCCGCCATGCTGCAACGAACAATAGTTATCAATCGTGAGATAAGAAGTCATTCATTTTACTGCTGCCATCACAGGGGACAGATGATTATGGCATCCATTAGTGAAATGGCATCACAGCAGTTTCACTTGAAGTGCAAAGAAATCCTTCTCCTAAAAGTACATACTTACTGTGCTACTTAGAATCTTGATCAGGATCCCTATTCTACTCTCACGTCTTGTTCCAGGTGCAACCTGAACGTGATTGCTTGGGGACATTGCCATATGAATCATATTCAATACTGACATGAGATTGATGTATTTCCAACTTCATTTCTGGCCACATTTACATAAGAAAACATCTTTAATACTCCTTTATATGAAACATCTAAAAAAACAGAAGGATATTTGATATATAAATACAAATTGGTTGCCTCTTAAATCTCAATCTCAGAGTGCAAATTATGAAGAGATTCTGCTGTCAATCAGAAAAGGTGGCGCAGCAAGGTTTGGCCACACTGTGTGGGTCACATTCATCGATAACATGGCAACACATGATATATCTCACAATAGTATCACTGACACAGGATATTTAACAATCCTCATACACCTTACTGTCACATGATGGACCCTACTGTCACATGATGCACTTAACTGTCACATGATACACTCTACTGTCACATGATACGCCCTACTGTCACATGATACACCCCACTGTCACATGATACACCTTACTGTCAAATGATACACCTTACTGTCACATGATACACCTTACTGTCACATGATGCACTTAACTGTCACATGATACACTCTACTGTCACATGATACACCCCACTGTCACATCCTATTGTCAAATGATACACCTTACTGTCAAATGATACACCTTACTGTCACATGATGCACTTAACTGTCACATGATACACTCTACTGTCACATGATACACCCCACTGTCACATGTCACACCCTATTGTCAAATGATACACCTTACTGTCAAATGATACACCTTACTGTCACATGATACACCTTACTGTCACATGATACACCCCACTGTCACATGATACACCTTACTGTCACATGATGGACCCTACTGTCACATGATGCACTTAACTGTCACATGATACACTCTACTGTCACATGATACACCCCACTGTCACATGTCACACCCTATTGTCACATGATACAACTTACTGTCAAATGATACACCTTACTGTCACATGATACACCCAACTGTCACATGATACACCCTACCGTCACATGACAAACCCTACTGTCACATTATACACTGTACTGTCACATGCACACCCTTCTGTCACATGACTGTCACATAATACACTCTACTGTCACATGACACAAACTACTGTCACATGAAACACCCTGTAACATGATACACATTACACACACACACACATATATATATATCTGCTTACCAGGTACCACTGGTCGCTGTAGTTGGGGTCATTCAGATGAAACGGAGGTGCAGGCTGGAGGTCCCTCTTCACCCTCTTCCTCTCGATCTGCTGCTCGAACCACAGCACCTGCAGCAGCAGCAGCAACAACACATTCAGCACACCATGTGACATAATAAACAACATTCTAGTTTTCCTCCATGGTCCTGAAGATGGAAAGTATGCATTCAAACTCAACCAAGGTTTACCACAAATGTAAACTGCACAAAATGTTGTCATGTTGCACAAATGTAAACTGCACATAATGTTGTCATGATGTTGCACAAATGTAAACTGCACATAAGGTTGTCATGATGTTGCACAAATGTAAACTGTACATAATGTTGTCATCATGTTGCACAAATGTACACTGTACATAATGTTGTCATCATGTTGCACAAATGTAAACTGTACATAATGTTGTCATCATGTTGCACAAATGTAAACTGTACATAATGTTGTCATCATGTTGCACAAATATACACTGCACATAATGTTGTCATGTTGCACATTTGTAAACTGAACGTATTGTAATCATGTTGCACAAATGTAAACTGAACATATTGTTGTCATGATGTTGCACAAATGTAAACTGAACATATTGTAATCATGTTGCACATATGTAAACTGCAAATAATGGTGTCATGTTGCACAAATGTAAACTGTACATATTGTAATCATGTTGCACACATGCAAACTGCACATAATGTTGTCATGTTGCACAAATGTAAACTGCACATAATGGTGTCATGTTGCACAAATGTAAACTGCACAAAATGTTGTCATGTTGCACAAATGTAAACTGCACATAATGTTGTCATGATGTTGCACAAATGTAAACTGCACATAAGGTTGTCATGATGTTGCACAAATGTAAACTGAACATAATGTATCATGATGTTGCACATATGTAAACTGCACATAATGTTGTCATCATGTTGCACAAATGTAAACTGCACATAATGTTGTCATCATGTTGCACAAATGTAAACTTCACATACTGTTGTCATCATGTTGCACAAATGTAAACTGAACATAATCTACATTCATGTCCTGTTGTACAGTGGTACACTTGACTTCAAATTCAACAAGATTCCATATGTTTTTATTCAAATACTTTATTTGAAACAAAAACTAAGAAATTGTAACATGGCTACATCAGAATTCACCAGCAAACGTTACAGATGTTGAAACAGTGAAGTTGTGAATAGCCTGTATTGTGCACAAGTTGGGGGAGATTGATTTGCAGGGTGCAGCCATCAGAAAGGCCTGGTCACACTAAATACCTTGCCACCTTCAGTCATCAGTGACCAACTACTTGCAAAGCTTATGTGGGATTAACAAAGTTAAAAAGTCGAAAAATACATTATTCATTCCTTCTCAAATGTTTTAGGCAGTAACAAGAAAATTACAATTTGATGCCAATTATCATGTGTAAAAGTCCCTACTGGTGTGAAGAGATCTTTTGTGACCAGATGTGTTCCCCAATATCAAGGCTGACTCACAATGCAGGACATTGAGTTATACCACGGAGAATTATCTTTTACAAATATTCCTGTATCTGCACAGTATGCACACAAACCTCTCAAACTCGGTACACACTGGGGGTATCACTACACCGCTGCACAATACCAACATGATCTTGGATGATAAATGGACAACATTGATAACGGCTCAAATGACCCTTAGCAGATACTGATGAAAGTCTACTATGTACATGGCAAGTATAATATTGTACAACCCCCACACAGTGACAATATATATGTCTTCATGGTATATGCCATTCAGCAACTGATGTACTTAGGGTATATGTCATTTGGGGGCTATTGTCCTCATGGTATATGTGATTCAGCAACTGATGTCCTTCTATATGCCATTCAGCAACTGATGTCATTATAGTATATGCCATTCAGCAACAGATGTCATCATGGTATACGCCATTCAGCAAATGATGTCCTCGTGACATATGTCATACAGCAACTGATGTCTTCCTGTATGTGATTCAGCATCTGATATCCTCATGGTATATGTCATCTGGGGACTATTGTCCTCATGGTACATGTGATTCAGTAACTGATGTCCTCAAACCGATATCCTCATGATATACTTCATTCAGCAACATTTCCTCATGGCATGTCATTCACATGTTCACATGGCAACAATCATACACCATTATCTACACATGGCATATATCATACACCATTATCTACACATGGCATATATCATACACCATTATCTACACATGGCAACAATCATACACCATTATCTACACATGGCATATATCATACACCATTATCTACACATGGCATATATCATACACCATTATCTACACATGGCAACAATCATACACCATTATCTACACATGGCATATATCATACACCATTATCTACACATGGCATATATCATACACCATTATCTACACATGGCAACAATCATACACCATTATCTACACATGGCATATATCATACACCATTATCTACACATGGCATATATCATACACCATTATCTACACATGGCATATATCATACACCATTATCTACACATGGCATATATCTATACCATTATCTACACATGGCATATATCATACACCATTATCTACACATGGCATATATCTATACCATTATCTGTACATGGCATCAATCATACACCATTATCTACACATGGCATCAATCATACACCATTATCTACACATGGCATATATCTCTACCATTATCTGTACATGGCATCAATCATACACCATTATCTACACATGGCATCAATCATACACCATTATCTACACATGGCATATATCTATACCATTATCTGAACATGGCATCAATCATACACCATTAACTACACATGGCATCAATCATACACCATTATCGACACATAGCATATATCATACACCATTATTTACACATAAATATCATACACCCGGTTATTTACACATGGCATATATCATACACCCGATTATTTACACATGGCACAGAGCATTCAGCAACATGTCAACATGGCACAGAGCTTTCAACATCATCATGATCATAAACACGGCATAATGCTGATGACTTCTTTTTCCATGTGTTCCAAGTCCAGTCGGGTCAGAATTGATTTTTCTTCAGTGTTCTTTGCTGTTTTTTGTCAAATTGTTCAAGCTAAACACACTGCATCCTTGGGCACCATACCAGTTACATTTTCCTGTGGGAAATAATCTCTTGTCAACATAAAAAATACCAAAGACATAATTGATTCCTGTCTGATCCAATTCATCAAGCCTGGATCATGTGTTTTGTGTGCTGGCCCGGAGGGACTTGCAAGCCAGCATCTGCAGCGTCCTGTATGGCAGCTGAGAACAACAGGCAAATCCATCACCACTCGGTGACAAAGCAACAGATGAATCGATGACCACCAAGTGAAACAGCAACAGGCAAATCCATCACCACTCGGTGACACAGCAACAGGTGAATCCATCACCACCAAGTGACACAGCAACAGGTGAATCCATCACCACTCGGTGACACAGCAACAGGTGAATCCATCACCACCAAGTGACACAGCAACAGGTGAATCCATCAGCACTCGGTGACACAGCAACAGGTGAATCCATCACCACTCGGTGACACAGCAACAGGTGAATCCATCACCACCAAGTGACACAGCAACAGGTGAATCCATCAGCACTCGGTGACACAGCAACAGGTGAATCCATCACCACTCGGTGACACAGCAACAGGTGAATCCATCACCACCAAGTGACACAGCAACAGGTGAATCCATCACCACTCGGTGACACAGCAACAGGTGAATCCATCACCACTCGGTGACACAGCAACAGGTGAATCCATCACCACTCGGTGACACAGCAACAGGTGAATCTATCACCACCAAGTGACACAGCAACAGGTGAATCCATCACCACTCGGTGACACAGCAACAGGTGAATCCATCACCACTCGGTGACACAGCAACAGGTGAATCTATCACCACCAAGTGACACAGCAACAGGTGAATCCATCACCACTCGGTGACACAGCAACAGGTGAATCCATCATCACCAAGTGACACAGCAACAGGTGAATCCATCACCACTCGGTGACACAGCAACAGGTGAATCCATCACCGCTCGGTGACACAGCAACAGGTGAATCCATCACCACCAAGTGACACAGCAACAGGTGAATCCATCAACAGGTGAATCCATCACCACTCAGTGACACAGCAACAGGTGAATCCGTCACCACTCGGTGACACAGCAACAGGTGAATCCATCACCACCAAGTGACACAGCAACAGGTGAATCCATCACCACTCGGTGACACAGCAACAGGTGAATCCATCATCACCAAGTGACACAGCAACAGGTGAATCCATCACCACTCGGTAACACAGCAACAGGTGAATCCATCACCGCTCGGTGACACAGCAACAGGTGAATCCATCACCACCAAGTGACACAGCAACAGGTGAATCCATCAACAGGTGAATCCATCACCACTCGGTGACACAGCAACAGGTGAATCCGTCACCACTCGGTGACACAGCAACAGGTGAATCCATCACCACTCGGTGACACAGCAACAGGTGAATCCGTCACCACTCGGTGACACAGCAACAGGTGAATCCATCACCACTCGGTGACACAGCAACAGGTGAATCCGTCACCACTCGGTGACACAACCTAGACCACTGTGACAGTCTCATTCAATATCAGAATACATCGACAAGTGTGGCACAGCCCCAGTTAAAAACTACTGAGTGTACAGACCACTGTCAAAGCCTCAGTTAATAACCGAGTACGGACCACTGTCACAGCCAATTGTCACAGCCTCAGTTAATAACTGAGTACACAGACCATGGTGAGTGTCACAGCCCCAGTTAATAACTGAGTACACAGACCACTGTCACAGCCCCAGTTAATAACTGAGTACACAGACCACTGTCACGGCCCCAGTTAATAACTGAGTACACAGACCACTGTCACAGCCCCAGTTAATAACTGAGTACACAGACCACTGTCACGGCCCCAGTTAATAACTGAGTACACAGACCACTGTCACAGCCCCAGTTAATAACTGAGTACACAGACCACTGTCACGGCTCCAGTTAATAACTGA